CTGTTTCGGCCTGATCCACATGGGGCAGTCAAACAGGGTGTGGTCCCGATATCTCCCCCTCCTCGTCGTTCGGTGACCATAAAAGCGTAACAAATGAGTGACACCGAGCAGAGCTTTACGCTGTCCGTTCCCGAAGGCGACATTGACCTTCTGAAGAAGAAACTTGAACTCACACGCTTTCCTGACGAGCTGGGAGGGGCTGGATGGGATTATGGTGTGCCTCTTGCCGATGTACAAAGGCTGGTCGTGCGCTGGAAGGAACACTTCAACTGGAGAGACGCAGAGGCAAAGATCAATAAAATCCCGCAGTTCATGAGAGACATTGAGGTCGAGGGATTTGGGTCGCTAAATATCCACTACGTGCATCAAAAGAGTGAAGTCAAGAATGCCGTTCCACTGCTATTCCTCCACGGGTGTTCGTCATTTTTGTGGTTCATGTTTGACCCAGGAGGTGACCTCACGTTGACCGTATGTAGGGCCTGGACACTTTCTGGAGGTGCAGAAGTTACTGCCAATTCTCACTGCTGCGTCCCCTGACCACCCAAGCTTCCACGTCGTTGCTCCTAGTCTGCCTGGATACGGCTTCTCGGAAGCACCTGCAAAACCAGGGTTCTGCGGTGCTCAGTATGCTAAGGTTCATTGGCCTGACTAAATGAGAGTAAGCGTATTCTGACGCTTCGGTCTACAGGTGGCTAACAAGTTGATGATCGCGCTCGGTTATAAGGAATACGGTGAGTAGCATACACTAAGCTTGAACTTTTTGTCACACCACTCACCGAAACGTTGTGATCAACACTTCTCAGTGGTTCAGGGCGGCGATTGGGGATCGTTCGTAAGACATCATCATTCTCATCAATCCAGTGCCGTACCATTTATATGTCCTGTTGCCCTAGATTGCACGCACGCTTGCGCACATGTATGGACATAAATCCGTCAAAGCGTGGCACACTAACTTTACCCCGTGAGTCGCACCTGCACTCTCCTGATAACGTCATTAAATCTTTATGTATTTAGCATCCGCCAACCTCCGTCGCTGCGGACGCACCCTCGTCTCTTTTTCCAACACCTCTTCACACCCTACACTGACGCCGAGCGCGCGGGCCTGAAGCGCATGCAATGGTTCAACGAGAAAGGTCGTGGCTACTTCTTTGAGCAATCCACCCAGCCACAGACGCTTGGATACTCGCTCGCGGATTCGCCTGCGGGATTGTTGGCTTGGATATACGAGAAACTCGTTGTATGGACAGATCAGTATCCGTGGGATGATGATGAAGGCAAGTTCCCTATTCCGCATCCATGCTGGTCGCTTATCGTGAATTTAGTGTTGACGTGGATCTCCATCTACTGGTTCTCTCGAGCCGGTCCCACTGCTTCCACGAGAATATACTATGAGGTTACAGCCTCTAAGGAATACGCTAAGTTTGCATGGAGCTCTATCCCCTGTGGACTGTCTTTCTTCCCGCAAGAGCTTGTTGCAGTTCCGAGGACGTGCGTATGACTACTGTCTTTTCGCATATGGGCTTGTTTTTGCACATATGTACTGACGTTTTGCGCTTGCAGGTGGGCACGTCAGGTTGGCAATGTGGTGTTCGAGTCTGGCCATGGAAGTGGTGGTCACTTTGCTGCTCACGAAAGACCTGTCGAGCTTGCCGCCGATATACGTGCCATGTTTGGCAAAGGTGGCCCTGCGTTTGGGGTGGTATCCGAGCGTATTGGTTACGACGAATGAGTGGAGTTTTCCATGACTTTCATGTGATTTTTATGCGTGATGTCGTATTAGCCCGAGCATCGTTGCTATCTACATCCGCGGAGTCACTGTTTAAAGGCTGTGTATAAGGACAAAATTACTTCAATGCTGTGGATTGTCTGTGGATGGTTGACTTGCTCCAGATTTATGAATTTGTCGATCGCCTACTGTGGTTGACGCACTATGGTGTTCATATGATCTTTGCGAATGAGATTCCTACTCTACATGCATGCGATTAACCCCTGGCTTATCTTATTCTACACATTACGCGATGGCTCTATCGGTCAATCATCCTCTCCAGTCTCTCTCGCCACTCTCCCAGTCATTTCAGCAAACTGACATCAAGCAGTCTATTAGAGTCTATTACGCCTCTCGGCAAGGGCGGACCTCCTCTCCACACGGCATTTCACTCACTATGCCTTTCTACAAGACGCGAATCCACTTTATCAGGTCCTCTAACTTAAGCTACATCTTCTTTGCTAGTCCTATCGATGCCTGATTGCCCAGACCCGTCACCCACTGTACCCTTCGCAGGCCCAGGTCCGGTAGGGATGCGCTCGACAACTCGAGGGAGTACCGCATTAGGAACCCCAATGCATTCGCCGCGACATGCGTGTGCTGGAAGGTCGGGAAGACGAGAGCATACCCGATGTCGGCGACGGGCTCTGCGCCGCAACGCGCGCAGCAGCGCGATCACGCCCGCCAGGCTCCCGCCGCCGAGCGTCGGGTGCGCGTCGTCGCACCGCGCCTGATCAATAATCGCGAACATGATCCTCTCGGGGTTCTGGCGGTAGTGTTTTTCCACATACTCGAGGAAATTAGCGAGGCTGTCATGAATGAAGGGGAGGTACTGGTAGAGCTCTTCGCAGTGCGCACCGACATTGTCCCAGTAGGACTGGCCGTGTACGGAGGGAATAGACGGCGTCAAGTGCACGCGCTCACTCTCAAGCGACTCGGGGTAGATGGGGAAGTTGAATTGATGTCGTATGGGTCCGGTCCATACAATTCGGAGTCGGGCGTGGGAAGAGCAGCCAACGGAGGGGGGTAGAGATTCACATACTACTGACATCGTGCGGGATCCGCTTCGGAGGACAGTGGTCAACGACGCTGCTCAAGTATAGGTAGTACTTGTGGAGGCATTGTCGAGAAGACTGGTGTTACTTTTGGCGATCGGAGTTCGAGCAGCAGCTGAAACTAACACTCGGATCACTCTCAATGGCACATAAGCGTGATTCATGAACAAGTGCTGGCCATATTATAACTATAAGAGATGGTAGGGCTAAACCACATAATAGTAGATGTCTAACAGTACGCCCGCTCTATCTCCCGCTCTATTCTCACAAGTTGCAGCGCTAGATATACAAGTCAGGCATACAGGGGCGAGCTTATGGTGACAGAACACTTACCCATTAACTGCGATGTATTAGCATAATTCTTCATGACGTCCCTTACTGTCTGCAACGCAGCCACTACCTCGGCGTGTTCGGCTTGTATTAGCTGAAACTGCCTAGGCCCAGCAGTTTGATTTTCAACTAGTGATGTAGAAGCCCACACATTTCGTAGTCGAGCAATCTCACCAATCAACGCTCGACACACCAACATCCATAAGGTCTATAATGAACCAGGTCTGTCACAGCAGATTTAATGACAAAGAACCATAGCCAAGGCTTACTGAAAGTATTGGATCCACTCGAGTAATTCGACTGAAATCCGTTCCTTGAATCACAGCAGCTGCCATTTCCGCTGAGCGGACAGCTTTTCTTCGCGAAGTCATCCCCACTTGTTCCTGTACATGCAATTGGATTGATGCAGCTCGGCAAAGTGTGTGAGTGACTAGAAGCTCGTGAGCAGCAGATGCCTCTAGTTGCTGATTAATTGGGAGCGTGGCGACGAAACAGTTGATGACATTGTCCACCATGGCAATATCAGCTGCTAGTGAATGAGAGTGGGAAATCGACTGGGAAGCTGCAAAATATAATGAAATGTGAATGGGTGAACGACGAAGGATGAGCGAAGAGCCAGTCACCATTTCCATGCACCCTTCCTGCAAGTACAGCGGCACGTTCAAAAAGGGCGGACGCCTTGGCTCGGAGGGCGAGTGGGGACGAAACATGTGGCGGATTTGACAAATCAGCACCATTCAGGAACATATCCACGGTCCGGAAGTTGAAATGGGAGGCATCAGGGATATTGTCCTGTGACGAGCGCAGATCAGATAGATACTCAGACGCTCAATTGCACATAGTATACCATATCATAAGGCCACGGTGCATCAACCTCTCCTGTACAAGATGTCCCAAACTGTGATGAGGCGCGCATACACGCAGCCCAACAGACTTCGAGGATGAAAGCATGCCAGAACGCATCTATCCGCTCTTTCTCCTCTGCCGCGTTCCGTGCCGGGGGCAAACTGAACTCGGGAGGTCTTAGGGCGTCTACTGGAAACAAAGCCAATTGTGCAGATTGCGTCTGATGCAAGCGGCAGCCAAGCACGATAGCCACGGCACCGCTACAATGGTATCGCCCTTCCAATAGGCGGCCCGCATCGAAGAAGTAGTTGGCGACTAAGATCTCGGTTTGGATTACATGAAGGGGAGAGTGGTCTCCACCGCGTGCCAGCGGTTGCACTGCACGAGTGAGGAAGACCTGTTCATACGACATGAGTATCGAATCCTCTGACAGATGCGCTCCCCATAGATAGACTGCATTCAAGAGCGCAGGTAGCAGTGTTTGCTGACCTGACACAACATTATGCAACTGGGAAGAGAGTGCATCAAGAAGGTAATCCACACTGAGGAAGAAACCAACTTGGTCTGCATATGACAAAAAGTGGCTGACCCTGAAACAGAAAGTTAACCGACGCGGCATTCGGTCCGAAGCCAAGAGTACACTTGCAATGTTTGTGCTACTGCAGGAGGTAGTTTGGTGGATGGAATAGAGCTTCCATAAGCATTATGCGAAGACCGATTGGCGTGTAGTGCAGATGGGCTCGCAACAGCTACCGAACCATGGACACTGGGAGTATTCACAATACGAGGCACGGATTCAGCCACCAGTGAGACTGGAGATCGTGCTGATGAGGTGAGAGGCCCTGAGGGATGGAAATATTCATGTCGAGTCACTCACCATTGGTAGTACCAAGAGGATCTCCATGTGGACTCGGGGCACCAAGGACAAAACTTGAAGATTCGCCCAATCCAGCCAGTTCGAGGTGGTATACTCGGCTTTGTAGACGCTTGATCCTGTCTTCTAGCATTTGGATCTCTTGTGGAGAGTCGGTACCGTCCGAGTAGTGACACGAATCCTCGCAGTGGAAACGTTTACAAGTACCACAAATAGGTCTAACCCCGTCGCATTTCTACCAGAGTAACGATGAGCACAGCGTAAATGCACTAGGTACCTGCCACATACATATTTACGTCTTCGACAGTTGATGCAAGCTGCTCCGCGCGGTGCCCTGCCTGAGGGAGTAGAAGACAGGCCAGCTCCTCGCGGCCCTGAGTTGAACATCAGCTAGAATCAAGAAAATGTTGCAACGTCGTGGTTCCCGGAGAGTTCCTCTAATATATGAGGCTGGATGCTGAGTTACCTGTGGGGGTACCGCCGGGATATAGGTAGCATAGCCATTGCTGGTCGGAGACCACGGACGGCTTTTGCCTTCAGCGTACGAGATTCGACGTCAGAGCAGCGACGTTACCGATCCGGCGAATGCAAAAGGCCATCGTAACCAAACGCGACGTATTGAAAATCTTCTTGTCGAGCCCGTGCGAGGGCTGCTTCCGAACTAAAGTCGGACGGAGTAGCGACGCACATCACCCAGTCGATCCCTAATGGAGCCGCGTCTACTGGCCAGCAGTTCCGGTAGCGCAAATTCGTGCGTGGAGATTGTATTGATAGGAGGCAGAATCTGACATCCGAAAGCAATCCGAAAGGAGCCGGGCCATGCACGAGTCTAAGCGACGACGAATTGGCCCGAGTCAGGGAGCGGTTGTTTGTCCTTGTGTGGCAACAGCCTTAATCACTTGCCTAAACAGGACCCGAGGCAGCGTTCCGAGCTCTTCCGAGTGTCCGATGTGCTCGCGATCGTTTTCGCTACTCACGCATTTCGCGATCATTGATCAAGGCGTACCAAACGTAATGACGAAATAATAGTGACGAAAACAAGTTGCAAGGAATAACACAACGAAGCTGTACGCGTAAGCATCGTACTCATACAGAGGATTGAGCACCGTGACCAGCGGCCATAGCCAACAGACTAGCTTTATCTCCACTTTCCTCTACCAGAGCACGGAGCATGCCGTTTTTATTTTCAAGCAATTCAGTCGGCTTACCGAACTCAACCTGAACGTGTTCAGTAATCAGTCGCACAATGACATCGAAACCTCGAACTTACGATCCGGCCAGCATCCAGAACCATCTGGATTTCAAAACGAAATGAATGGATCTATTTTAGCAGGGTGCAGACGTAAAGCAGCGCGCTTTCACTTACGATCTTATCCGCATCCATGATAGTTTGCAAGCGATGCGCTACGGTCAGGACAGTCACGCCACTATCCATCTCTCTGCGAAGAGAGGCCTGAATGACAGCGTCCGTAGCATAATCTGACAAAGGAGTGGTTGTGAGCAATTAGCGCAATATACTAGTCTCACGCATCCTACCGATGGCCGATGTAGCTGTTCACATGATCTTACATTAGTCAGATTCCTACCCTTTGTTGACAGCACGCACCTTCATCCAATATCAACAGTTTACTCTGCCTGAGGATTGCTCTCGCAAGCGCAAGGATTTGCCTTTGACCAACAGACAGATTGCCGCCTCCGCCCGCGATCTGGCTGTCCAAAGTGATGCGGCTTCCGTCCGAGTCATTCTGTAGAGAGAAAAGACCAGCAGAGCGGAGAGCGTCGTTTAGGACTGCATCGTCGTATTGCCCGAACGGATCCAGATTCTGGCGCAACGTCCCACTCAGGAGTTCTGGCTTCATGTCCAATTCTCCGTGAGCCAGAGGCTGTCAGAAGTGCTATAGGTGACTTACAACTTGAGGAATGATTGTTACACTTGACCTCAGCGCATCCAAATTGATTTTATCCGTAGGGAGACCATCGTAATATACACTGCCTTCGGTGAGGATGCACCGTAGCAAAGCTAAAGTCAAAGAGCTCTGAAGTATTGCATGAAAAAAGAGGGCTACCTGGAGGAAACAACGACATACCTTGCCGCTTCCAGTCCGTCCCACTTAATTTCATGAGCCTAACGCGCATTTCGCACTTAAAAAGAAGCTTACCAATCCCAACGCGCTCTCCAGATTTCACCTCGAAAGACACATTCTCCAGTACGCGCGACCCATCCTATCAGCAATTCAACAACCACCTACAATTATAGACATTACCGAAGGCGTACCGAGGAGTATCGTGCAGATAGCTTTTCGACCTTCAAGTCGCCACTTGCGGGCCAGTAAGCAGGCGGAACTCCGTTCTCAGTAGGTTTTTCCTCCTGCTCGATCTCCATATATTGCTGTATGCGCTCCAAACTAGATACGAGTGTCAGCTTAGTGAGAAAGTGATGTGCATCCATGCATACCTATTGCCTGTGAGAAGAGATCAAATTCACAAAAAGAACGTAGATGACCCAATGCGTACCAGAAACCTCAAATTCGTTGAACATGCGCACAGCGTACAAGATATAGGTACTGAAGCTGACTATAACAAGCTTAAGAAAACAAATCACAGTCGTGCGAACCTGATGTTCACGTACCTGCCATACTCAACGAAAACCCGGTATCAGACGCTGTCGCACTTCCGCTATATACGAGATATGCACCAAGACTCGCAGAGAACAGAGCAGCAAGGGAATCTGTGCGAATAAATACCCATCTGTTCTCGTTGAGCACATGTCATATTTGAAAGGTCACGCCAGCCCACCTATTCAAATTGTAAAACGCTCTCGACATTCTAGTGTAGCGATCAACCCGTAGCGATGACTCTTTTCTGAAGGCGTCTTGGGCTCCGTATGCTCGAATGGAGACTTGTCCGGGAATAAGTATATCCGACAAATGAAGGAGAAGTGAACACGCACCCAAACCCGCGAAGGCCGCACCGAAGTGACCCAAAA